TCTATAAATTGGGTATCCATTTTTCCCCTTATATGTATAATCAGCAAATTCTTTTGGATATTCGAACTTACAATATTCCCTGTTCTTCATACAAGGACATTTAGGATTTAAGCTACCACAAGGTCCATGCATCATATGTTTAGTAACAAGTGAATACAGATAATCATTTGTATCAGAGTCAGGCAGTTCAGCACAAACAAATTTATCATAAGCTTCCGGAGTTAACAATTTATATTCGTTATTAAGTATGATAAGGAAATGAGCATGTGGAAGACCCCGCTTTTGAAATTCAATAGTGTACATAAAAGCAACAACTTTTCCAAATATATTTTTCTTCAGTATATCTGTTTTAAGCTCCTCTAGCTTAGCTCTAAACACTCGGCTAATTAAATCGGGCCTATTTTGTACCTCATCTGTTACCAATAAATGTTCTTCTATTTCTGGCCGTGATGGATTACATGTCATTGTTAAAAATATATCAGGTTTTCCAAAATTTTGCACTAACGCATTAGCGTCCATATATCGTTGGCGCATATCTCTAGGACCTCCTATAAAACTTGCAGGTAAAAAACTTTGTCTGCCTATGTTACATGCTTCTCGCTCACCATGTCTTAGAACATCAAGAATCCCCGCTAACACATCAATTCGAAATAAATCTTGATTAAATGAATAGAAATTTAACCTTTGAGTCTCAAGCTTGATGAATACGTCAACTGAGTATTGTTGGAATACTCTTCCAGTATGTAAAACCCCATTTTCTTCGCCATCCCTCATTTGGAGCTTGTAACAATAATACTTATGGCATGACACAATATTTCTTTTTCGTTTCTTTTTTTCCAGAAGTTCTGCTTCTATGTCAAGTAGCATGTCAACTGAACACATGTTTTGTACACTTGGTAGCTGTTCATTTTCACAATAAGTTCCGTGGCTAATAGTATTATTTGTTTGAATAATCTTTTTGATACCACAGTGCCATCCGTTTTGTCCATAAGGAAATAACAATGGATATTGCAGTGGATCATAACAACCGTAGTAAAATTTTACCAATTGGCTTTTATTACTATGTGTATAAATTCGAATATGTGGTAGAGAAATCTTAGAACTACTTCCATCATCTATCCATATTGCTGCTACTTTAGATGATGTTGGTAAGTTATATGTTCTTTGATCTAAACCAGCGTCTGACTTAAGCACAATGTAGAAGTTTTATAATTCTGGGATATCTGTTAAAGATTTCAAAAATATAGAGTATGGATTAACTTTTAATGTGTCCATCAAAGTCCTGATAACCGATTCATTAAGCTTGTCAGAGAATGCCATCCGATTTGCTAGTTCATTATCAGTATCATAGAAATACAACTGTAGATTTTTGGTTGGTTGACTCGAAGGCAGGAGGTCATTTATGAAGTGATACATTTTCCCTTGAACTCTAAACGTATAGATACCACAATTTCTTCTTGCTAAATCTCTGTAATAATTCACTCCAAGAGAAGTAAATGCAAATATATTGTTATACAATCTAACATAAGTGCGAAAATGTTTGGACTCCTCTGAGTTTCCTAAATAAAGATTTAGGAGTTGAGCAGGTAGTCCATAGTGAATCAATTTCACTGATCCATTATCGCAACAAAATCCCGGTGATTCATATTGAAATCTTTTGTCTCTACAAAATTTACAATTCGGTACAGTTATCAATATATAAGGGCTATTGGGCAAGTCAATAATGTTCCACTGACCCAATTTTTTTTGATCTACGACCTGTGTTTTTTGAGGTTAACCAAAGGGGAAAAATGTTAATCTCGAAAAATAAATGGTTGAAATGACTTTAAAGCTATAAGAAACCAAACCTCTATTTGTAGTGTTATGCATAGTAATATCATTCTGTTCAGCGCATGTTCCCGATGTGGACCCTAAAATATAAGGAATTAAGCATATAAGTCTGGCTGTTTAAACATTCTACAAATTTGAATACCATACTTCCACACTTACCAAGTTCAAAAATACAGGAGCTATCACGTACATCTTTGACATTATTAGAAACAGGGGAATCCTGAGCTGTGGAAATATTTTCTAAGACAAACAAAGGTGTTATGAACGTATTAAATATGTAAATTTTCAATGTCTCATAGTTCAGTAATGATGTTCTAAACGTCAATACCACAGAAGAGGGGGGGGGGGGAGTGATTTGTGTGGTACCCAATTATCGCTCTAGAAAAACCTGGTTCTTCTAGGTGTACTTACTACTACTGTTTGCGAAATTAAAAGTACATGAAATAAAGAACACCGAGATTTTTACGTGGAAAATACCTGGCTCAAAAGGTGAAAAAACCACGACCTACTACTCAGTAGGATTTTCCCAAACTTCCACTAAAATCACTGAGCCAAAACAGCATTTACAAAACTCTTGTAAACCTAAGGATTAAACTCTAATCCCGTTGTGGCACACAACCTCAATTGTTGCGACAACTTCAAGTTAACTCTAACTTGAATAGTCAAAGTACCTAATACAATTGCTTCTATGAAAGCTGAAAGGTACAAGTTTAAATCACCTACTACAATTGAACTAGAATAAAAGAAAGACACAATGGAATTGGTTCTTATATCTTGTCCAAGTAGCTTCAGGAATGCACACTCAAATCTCACATAAATTGCTTGCAAAATTTCCTTCCTCTTTTGCTCTTAATTTAGTTTAACTTCTGCGTTTGTGCAATACCTGTAAAAGAGAACAATCACTGTTATTTAATGAGTTAGTAATTGGAGTTTGATTGAGACTCAATTGCTGATCTTCCAGCAAAGTTGAGTCTGTGAAAAACACAACCTCCAACCCTATCCTTTATCCGGATTGTGTTCTCTTCTCATGAGGAGACTTTCTCTCCTTATCTCATATTCAACCTTTTCGATCAGTTCAGGAGATATTGCTGGTTGATCAATGGGACTTATCTCCTTCACGTGCATCTCACATGTATAGGTTGACAAACACAGTGCTTCATATGATGAACCTGTTCCATGACTGAGTTTATTTGTCATTCTTCAAAACTTCACCTGTTCTTGGGCCAAAAAATTCCCCCTTTTCGATGATGACAAACGCTGTGCTTTTTACTGATCAAAAACTTGTAAGAACTCAGGCTTAATCATTATCACTTAACGTAGAAATTTTACTTATCATCAAGGACCAGGTTCATTAGGTTATAAACATCACATACTTCAGAACAAAATGAACAAAGCACAATATATCTTCCCCTTTTTGGCATCACGGAAAAGTTGCATACATAGTGTGAATTCCAGATTTTAATAATTACTCATGGCCACTGGGGCAATTGCAAGTGAAAACATTGTGGAATTATCAATAATCAACAAACAAATTCAAACTATCAAGATCAGAATCATCATTGAACAAAAGAAAGTAGCATTTGTCATTAATTAAGGATATGGTTCCACCAACAGTCCACAAAAAGAAAGAAAAAACTTCCAAAACATGAGCAAAAAAACCAGAAACATCCCTAATTCGGGTCACTGGGGGTCACTAGGGGGGGGGGGGGTACTAGACTGGTTCTGAAAACAAGTGCTCAGTTCTAAGGCCATCTCTCTCATTCTCTAATTCAGCTACGCGTGCCTTGAGCCTAGCAATTTCATCATCCTTAGTTCCACACTCCTGAACCAAGGCCCTAACCTTGCTGTTGATGCGTGTCCTCAGAGATGAACCAGGTTCAACTGGGATGGCATTGACAGGATAGTCACAAGCCAGCAGGGTCTTAACACCAAAATGCTCCTTGCTTGATGCCATTTCCCATTTCTTCAAAGGCACCTTCAGCCTGTCCAGAACAGTAGTCGGTATGAACCCATATGGAATGGCATGAGCCTTGGAGCCATTAATGACCCTGTCTAGTAATTTGACAATGAAAGCATGCCAGTTGATCTGTATGCCTCTCTCCAAGCACTCCATAAGAACCAGGTCCATGTAATTTGCACTGTGCCTTGTCTCCTATCTGGGCAGCAGGCACTTGTTGACAAATTCAAACAAGACCTTGTGTTCAGGTCTCATTTTACTTTTCTGCACAAATCTAGCTTCAGGCACTTCTCTAGAGTCACAGAATCTCCTAGTGATTTCAAGAGCAGTAGGGAGAGACTCTAGACATGGCCACCTTTGCCTTGTATAGTCATCATACGCTTCAGTAGGTATGTCCAGGATCTCACCAAGTTTGAATGCATCAAACTTCACTCTTTCTCCTCTCACCAGGCTGGTGACTACTCCATCTTTTACAACAACATTGTCCATAAACTCAATCAATTCATTCCTGGCCAGCCTCCCATCCATTTCAAGGACCATGTCCTTCCAACCTTGTGCAGCTAAAGCATCCACCAGTCTTCTCATCCCTGGTTCTTCCAGGTCCTTCAACAGTCTTCCTTTCAGAATTTTTCTCCTGCCAAAGATGGCAAACTTATCCAGCTCCTTCTCAGATTCCTCTTCTTCTTCTTCACCACTCCACTCTTCATCTTCTTCAACAATTTTCTTTTGCATACCTTTTACAGCAGACCTTGTCCTCTTGGCTAATGAGGGTTCACCAGACACAGGTTCATAAGAAGACTTCTTGGTAGAAGTCTTGGACTTTTTAGGTTTTGGTGAAGAAACCTCTACTGTTGTTCCTCTTTCTTGATGGACCAGTTCCATCTCCTCTTCTTCAGTAGCCTCGGAGGACTCTGCAACCTTTTTCTTTCCCTTCTCCTTTTTCTTTTTCTTGCTTTCTTCCAGAGCTTTTTGTAGGTCAGCTTCACTTTGTCGAACCCTGCTTCTTGTAGCTCGTCCCTTAGGTACTGAAGGGGCAGTAGATTTAGGGGATGAGGTCTTTCTTTTCTTGCTGGCTTGGGAACAGTTGGGGCCTTTTGTGAGATAGACTTGCGTTTCTTTAGGTCATAACTTGCCCCAACCCTTTTCAGAATATCAGCCAGAGTTTCCTCAGCAGATGAACCAGGTTCATCTCTTTGTTTGCTCAAATGAACCAGCCCTTAAGCTGCTTCCCTAGAACCACTTCCCCCCTGACTTGAAGCAACTTTCTTTTTCAACTCCACATATAGCAAGAACTTCTTCCTTTCCTTTTACCCTCTCTTCACCACTTCCTCCCTCTCTCTCTTTTCCTTTCTTTTTACCTCCACTCCTACTCGATTCAGCCACCTTTACATCTCTAATAGGTCCAACTAGAACAAACCTATTTTCTAAGTTTTCAACCACAGAAGAACTTACTTCAACAGGGGTTTCTTGAATTTTATCAGTGTCAGAAGACCCATGTTCTTCACCTTCACTAGCAGAAATAAATGATTCAGAGTTAGAACTGGAATCAGACTCTTTAGCGGGCATTCCTTTTTCTGGCTAGCTTTCAATCTCTCATTTAAAACTTTCCTCAAGGCTCCATATGGTACAGATTTTCTAGCCAACATTTTCTGCCTTCGAAACCTAGGTTTTGGGGATTCACAAGGAGGAGTAGATGAGGATGAATTGGAAGGGGTTGGTGGTGGAGGAGTGCCAGGATGATCTTGTGGGTTAGACATGGTTCTTCGTTTATGGAAGAATTTTGGGAATTTTTTAGAAGAAAAGCGATTTGGAATTTCTGGAGAGAGAAGTGATTGGGAATTTCTGGAGAAGAGGAGCAATTAGAACCGGAGATATAATTTTTTGACGGTTTTAGAATAAAGAAGAGAATAAGAGATGTGGTGTATTTAAAGACAATTAGTCATTAATGCAGTAACGACAACTTTTTCAGAGGTCAATTAGAAGTCTAATCAGCCTGGAATTCCAGTCCTTTAATGATTATTTGGCTTCCCTAGATATTAGGCAAAAATCACGGTTTTAGAGTTCTAAATGGACGAAACTGGTTCAATGCTTCAACGGATAGAATTTCCTAGGAATTTGGCAAATGTAGGACTTCTACTCATGATAGAATTGTTAATCTTTCTAGTTATGCAAAGTGTTGAACACATACTTGAACTTTCATATGCACTTATACTGATGAACCAGGTTCTTCATATAGAACTTTCTTGATCATGCCTCAAATGTCATAATAGAAAAATCTTTGTAAGAGATTAGTGAATCATATATACACATGTCACAGGAGTATACTAATTAAAGTATGAAACTGAGTAAGAATTAATCTAGCTATTTACACAAAGTTAGAACTCCTAACCAATTTTTTTTTTCAATTTTTTTTTTCATTTTTTTCATTTTGCATTCTGAACTGGACCTATTAGGTGATCTTAATCATCCCTAATTCCAACCTGTTCCTCTCAAAGTTTTCTCTACTCAGTGCTTTAGTGAAAATGTCAACAATTTGCTTATCAGTAGCACAGAATTCCATGGAGATCAGTCCCCTTTCATAGTTATCTTTTAAGAAGTGGTGTCTAACATCTATGTGCTTAGTCCTTTTATGATGAACAGGGTTCTTTGTCATACTTATAGCACTAGCGTTATCACAGAATATTGGAATACAACCAACTTCAATACCAAAATCTACCAGCTGCTGTTTGATCCATAGTAATTGAGTACAACAAGAGGCAGCAGCAACATACTCAGCTTCAGCAATAGATAAGGCCACTGAGTTTTGCCTTTTGGTAGCCCATGACACAAGACATGAACCAAGGAAGTGTGCCATACCTGAGGAGCTCTTCCTATCCACTAGAAAACCTACATAATCAGCATCAGCATATCCTACTAAATTGAAATTGCTACCTTTGGGATACCAAAGACACAGATCAGTGGTCCCTTTCAAGTATCTTAGTATCCTTTTGACAGCAGTCAGGTGAAACTCTTTAGGATTTGCCTGGAAGCGAGCACAAAGCCCTACACTGAAAACAATGTCAAGTCTGCTAGCAGTAAGATACAGAAGTGAACCAATCATACCCCTATACAACTTTTGATTAACAGATGAACCAGGTTCATCAACATCTAATTTAGTAGCAGTTGCAAAGGGTGTGTCTATTTCTTTGGATTCTTCCATTTTAAACTTTTTGATTAGCTCTTTTGCATATTTCTGCTAATGGATCATGGTTCCACTAGGACTTTGTTTGATTTGTAAGCCTAAAAAGAAGTTAAGCTCACCCATCATGCTCATTTCAAACTCACTCCCCATTAATTTTGCAAAGTCCTTACTCAGCTTATCACTGGTGGCCCTAAAGATTATGTCATCGACATATATTTGTATAACAAGGAGATCCTTACCTTTTTCCCTTAAGAATAAGGCACTATCAATTTTACCTCTTTTGCACCCATGCTCCAGCAGGAATTTGGACAATCTTTCATACCATGCTCTTGGGGCCTGCTTGAGTCCATAGAGAGCCTTGTCTAACTTGTACACATGCTCAAGACATTCCTTGCTTTCAAACCCTGGAGGTTGTTTCACAAACACTTCTTCTTTCAGGTAGCCATTCAGGAAGGCACTTTTGACATCCATTTGATGAAGTGTGAATTCCATGTATGCTGCAAAGTCTATGAGGAGTCTGATTGCTTCTAGTCTTGCAACTGGTGTAAAAGTTTCATCATAGTCTATGCCTTCCTCTTGGCTGTAACCTTGGACCACCAGTCTTGCCTTGTTTCTTGTAACTGTTCCATCTTCATCAAGTTTGTTTCTGAAGACCCACTTTGTACCAATCACTGATATGTCCTTTGGTCTTGGAACTAGATGCCAAACTTGACTTCTTTCAAACTGATTGAGTTCTTCTTGCATAGCAATCACCCAGTCTGCATCCTGCAAGGCCTCAACAATATTTTGAGGTTCAATAAGTGACAAAAAGGCATCAAAAGCACACAGATTCTTTAATTGTGATCTAGTTTTGACTCCAGATGTTGGATCAGTGATAATGTTCTCAATGGGATGAGAACTTTGATACTTGTGAGGTTTCACAACCAACTGGTTTCTGCTAGATGTTTCTCCCATGTTCTGTTGCTGAGGAACAGGGTCATGAACAGGTTCTTTTAAGGACAGATTAGTGATTGGTACAAAGTGGGTCATCACCTGTTCTGTTGATTAGTTCCCCTTGTCAGGGAGCCCTGGATGGAAGAACCTGTTCCATCACCTGTTCCTTCTGTTGGTGCTACTTTGACCTGAGCTGAGGCTTCAGTCAAGTCCTTTACCAATCCAATGGCTTCATCTTCATGTTCCTGTCTCTCAGAAAGAATGTTAGTTTCATCAAATACTACATGCACACTTTCTTCTACACACAAAGTTCTTTTTTTAAACACTTTATATGCTTTGCTATGTGAAGAATATCCCAAGAATACTCCCTCATCACTTCTGGGATCAAACTTACCTAGGGAGTCTTTTCCATTATTGTGCACATAGCACTTACAACCAAATGCCCTAAGGTGGGATATGTTTAGTTTTCTCCTTTTATGTAACTCATAGGGAGTCTTCTCTACAAGAGGTCTAGTCATGCATCTATTGATTATGTAACATGCAGTGTTTACAGCCTCTGCCCAGAAGCTGTGTGGCAGTTTACTAGAAAGCAGCATGGTCCTAGCCATGTCCTCAAGGGTCCTATTTTTTCTTTCAACTACTCCATTTTGTTGAGGAGTCCTAGGGGCAGAGAAATTATGATCTATACCATTTTCATCACAGAATTGAGCAAACTTTGAATTTTCAAATTTAGTTCCATGATCAGACCTAATGGATGCAAGTTGATTTCTAATTATTTCTGAGTTTTTCTAACAAATGCAGTAAACATGTCAAATGCTTCATCTTTAGAAGTTAGAAATAGAACCCAGGTAAATCTAGAATAATCATCAACAAGCACCATTACATATTTCTTTCCACCTCTGCTCATGGTTCTCATTGGACCACAGAGTTCCATATGGACCAGTTCCAACGACTTGGTTGTGCTTACCATCTTCTTGCTTTTGAAGGATGATCTTACCTGCTTCCCCCTTGCACATGCCTCACAAACTTTATCTTCCTTGAACTTGATGTTGGGTAACCCTATCACCAAGTCCTTAGAGACTAATTTGTTTAGCTGATTCAGACTGGCATGACCAAGTCTTTTGTGCCACAGGAGGGGATCATTAACCAACACACTTAGACAAGTGAGTTCGTTTTCTGAGAGAGTGGACAAATCTACAATGTAAATATTGTTAACTCTCTTTCCCTGCAACACAATCTTGTCAGTGGTAAGATTAATCACAAAGCATTTAGTAGAGGTGAATGCTACAAGGTTACCTCTGTCACACAGTTGTGACACACTGATCAGGCTATATTTTAAGCCATCTATCAAGTAGACATTCTCAATGGAGTGAGAGTCTGTCTTACCTACCCTTCCAACCCCGATGATCTCACCTTTCTTTCCATTACCAAAGGAGACATTACCTCCTTTTAAGTTCTCAAGTGAAACGAGCTGGTCCTTGCTCCTAGTCATATGTTTTGAGTAGCCACTATCCATATACCATATTTGGCTGCTTCCTTTCACTTGGACCTGCATAAAGAGATCAAGGGTTAGTCTTAGGAACCCAAACTAGTTTGGGTCCCTTTCTATAGGCAAAAGGATGAATCAAATTCCTTCTTGCCCACCCATGCAGCTTACTTTTCTCTTGAACAAAGGCTTTGTTCTTTTGACTGGCCTTTACTTTTGCATTACATTCATTTTTGTAATGGCCAGTCTTGCCACAGTGTGTGCATATTTTATTCTCAGGAAGTGTGAGGTACTTGCTTTTAGGGTCCCACTTTGGTGCTTGAGTCCCATAGCCAAGTCCTTTTTTGTTGCTACTGTGATGCTCTTGCAGCCAAGAAAGTGCATCAGAGGCCTTGTTCCATTTGCAAGTTCTATCTAGTTCATGTTTCACTTTTCCTAGATCTTCTTTTAGGACTTTAATCAGTTCATCCTTCTTATGCAATTCATCCTTCATTTTTCCTAAGTTTTCCTCTAGAGTGAGATATGTATGATCAGCTTTCTTCTTTCCCGTTCCTAGTTTTAATTTTAAGTTTTCAGACCTAAGTTCTAGGACACTGGTGTCAAGTTCAATAACCTGGTTCTTCAACTCAGCATTTTTGCTATCACACTCATTAGCCCTAGACTCTAAGCTTTTGCATTTTGCTTTTAGGATCACACATTCCCTAGACAGATCTTCCTTCTCATTGTTAACTGTCTCAGACTCATCAATGAAATCTAGTAATAGCTCAGCCAACCTTTCTTTAGACAGAAATTTAATCTTGTCTTTGAGATGAAGAATACTTACCTCTTGTTCATCATCTGATTCTCCGATGGCCATAAGAGCCTGTTCTTCTCCAGCTTCATACTCTGAGTCCTCATCTGATGTTTCTCCCGAGGCAGCAACCATAGCCTTTGTTCCTTTTTGGTTGAACCTGTTCCTTCTTCCTG